CACAGAAAAAAAACGGCCAGCCTCTGAAATGTGCAGTGCGCAGCCTGCACAAATGCTAATGGTGGCCCCGCCGCTTCTCTGTAAACGAATGCGCGTGAGTGTGAGTGTGTGTGTGTGTGTGTGTGTGTGTGTGTGTACAGTTGCCAGAGAGCACATGCGCTTGCTAGAGAGAAACAAAGAGAGGGACAGGGACAGGGATAAGGTTACCATGGGGCATGAGCACATCACAATCCCTTCTCTTCCACTTCTCCATCCCGTTGGGATCTGGGGCACACACGCACTTGTACCTCTTCAAACCACAGGGCCAAGGACTTGAACTACACTCAGCCACGCGGGATCCGGCTCCCCTAACCACTGGGCCATGGAACTGGCCTTGGGACAAATTCCCTAGGACCACATTCTGATTCTCCTGAGCCTCCCCACCCCACATCGGACCCCACGACCTTCCCAGGGATCCCACCATCCTCTGCACTTTAGGGCATCCCCAAACCTACCTCTGGAGGGGACCCATTCTTCTGAACTTCAGATCTTTTAAGAGCTCTTGGATCTCGGGACCAGCAGTTAGCGTAATGGCTAGTTGCTGGACTCCCATGTAGTCAACCGTGGTTTGAGTCCCGGACCCAGTGGCTTAAACTCATGCCAGGTGCATGTGCGTGCGTGCCCAAGATCCCGAGAGGAGAATGGAGGAGAAGGGATTGTGGCGTGGCCATCCTCCCTGGGGGGGTGATTTCTCGCTTTCTGTCTCTCTGTCTGGCAAGCGCACGCGCCCTATAGCAAAAACCTCTTTCTAAAAAAACAGAAAAAAAAGAGCTCTTGGATCTTCTGAAGTTCAGCCCACCTCCTTTGCCTCTCCTCATTTCCTACACACTCTGATTTTTAAAAGCTCCTTCTACAGTTGGCAAACTGTGACCCAGGGTCAAATCTGGCTGGTCTGGTGGCCTGTTTGGTTGGAGCACAGTTGTGTGCCCTTTTTTACATTTGTGGGTGGCTGCTCTTGTGTCACAATGGCAGTGCTAAGTCGCTACTGCCCAAACCACGTGGCCGACAACGCCCACAGGACCTACTCTCCGCCCCTCTCCAGGGCGAGCTTGCTGACCCTACGTGGAAGGACTTCCCACAGTTGTGGAAATGCGCTGTCTCTGCTGTCCAGGATGGTGGCCAGTAGCCGTGGGTGGACACCGATCATTTGAGACGTGGCTAGCACCGAGGACTACATGACTTCCAAATTTATCTTACCCACGGGCAGAGCATGTGTGCATGCCCCAAGGGAGTCTGCAAGGGAGAGACAGACCCTCGGCAAAGGGCCATCGCACCTGTCTTCTTCCCAGCCTGTACCTGCACCCAGCATGCTCCAGGTCAACTGGGGACCCAATGGGGACTATGTGGCTTCCAGCACGCAGTTCAGCCCATCACTGCCTGTGCCACCCAGGCTGGGCCAGGAATTGAATTTTTTTGAGAGAGAGACTTTTGCTATAGGGTACATGCGCTTGCTGGAAAGACAGAGAGACAGAAAGTGAGAAATCAACCTCCGGAAGGATGGCCATGCCACAATCCCTTCTCCTCAATCCTCCTCTCAGGATTTTGGGCACGATCCCAATGAGAGTTTCAAGTCGCCAGGTCTAGGATATGAACCTCAGTCGACTATGTGGGAGTCCAGCCCCTCAACCACTACGCCATCTGCTGGTCCCCAGAATTTAATTTTTAGCATCATTATTATTTTTTAATCTGCCAGAGAGTACATGTGCTAGTCAGAGACAGAGACAGAGAGAGAGGGAGAGGCAGGAAGCATCCCCAGTGTGGCATGCCACACTCCCTCCTCCTCCACGCCCCCACTCTGTCTGGACTTAGGGTACACACATGTGTTGTCTCCTATGGCTGGACCTAGCAAGCCAGTGGGTCAGGATTGGAACCATGTGGTCGACCATGTGGGATCCAGGCTCCCTTACCCACTAGGTCCGGGGACTGGTCCTTCAATATTTAATTTACATTCATTTAGATTTAAGTAGCCACGTGGAGCCACAAAGCAGGTTCCTCCGTGGCTCCCTCCACTGGCCTCTATAAAGCCCCACACCCTCTGACTGCTCTCAGACCTCCCAGCCCCGTTGTCCAAAAAGGAGTCCCCACATCTCCCTCCTGAGGCACCGAGCTGAAATCCCACCTCTAGCACACCGTCCCGGCGAGCTAAGCATCGTCCTCCCTCGGTCCCACTTGTAAGCTGCACTCAGCCGAGTGCGGGTTACACGTGGAACGGGCAGGACCCCCACGGGGAGCAGGTCGCCCTAGGGTTTCTGGCCTTTGGAAGCTGAAGTGAACATTGGAGAAGAAGCTGCTGAGAATCAGAGCCCGGGTCTGGGAGCCGAGGTGGGGGTCGGCACAGCTGGCACTGCTCTTACCTGCCAGGGCCAACTGTAGGGGACCGCGTCCTCGCCATTGACAACCCGGCTGCCGGCACGGTAGGATGGGCGGCCACAGCCTGAGGCTAGAGGGGAGAGAAGAGGTGTTGCTCAGCCAGATAATTCCCCAGAGCCAGGAGGCTAGAGTCTGAGCCTTTGCTGTGCCAGACTGGCTGTGTGACCCTGTGCATGCCCTGGGCCTCCCTGGACCTCAGTCACTGCAGAACACTGAGCATCTGGGCCAGAGCAGAGGTTTCCAGAGTCCCGAGAGTCCAGGGATGGATATGAAAGTGTGGCTTTGATCAACGGGAGGACTGAAACGGTGATACACTTAGATCGGTGCCTGGCACCCAGTGAGCCGCCGGACTGACAGCTGGCATCACAGAGCGGAGGCTCTGAAGGAAGACTGCCTGCATTTTAAGTGCAGCCTGTTCCCTGTCATGGGGTGAGTGGCTTTCCTGCTCTGTGTCAGTTTTCTCATCTGTAAAATGGGCACTGACTTCCTAATGTCTTAAGAACCGTAGGACAGAGCCAGAGGTTGGTTAAATTGCTGGACTCCCACATGAATGACTGTTTGAGTCCCGGACCCGGTGGCTTGCTTTCTCACTTTCTCTTTCTCTCTTTCTGTCTTTCTCTGGTCAAACTGAAAAGTGATAATAATAAATTTAAGAAATTTTATTTAAAAGAAGAATTGTAAGACAAAAAAAAAAACCCTGGGCCAGCCAGGTGGTGTGGTGATTAAGGCACTGGATTCCCACATGGCTGACTGCGTGACTTGAGTCTCAGACCCGGCAACTTGAAAAAACACACTGGAGGCACCAGCAGGTGGCATGGTGGTTAAGGCACTGGACACTCCCACATGGCTGACTACGGCTTGAGTCCCGGACCCAGAGGCTTGTTTCCTCACTTTGTCTCTCTCCTTCCTCTCCTCTCTCTGTGTGTCTCTCTCTGGTCAAATTTAAAAATAAATTAATTAATTAATTTAATTAAATAAATAATTATTAAAAACAAAACAAAACAACACACTAGAAGTATGTGCGTGAGTACCCAAAATTCTGAGAGGAGAATGGAAGAGAAGGGAAGACAGCGCGGCCATCTCCCCTGGGGGGGTGATGGTGCTGATTTTTCACTTTCTCTCCCTCTCTGTCTCTCTTTGGCGAGGGCATGCGACCTATAGACATTTCCTTTTTTTAGAGAGATTTTTGCTACAAGGGACATATGCTCTCCAGAGAGACAGAAAGTGAGAAATCATCCCTAGGGTGGGGTAGCCACATGCAATCCCTTCTCTTCCATTCTCTTCTCAAGATTTTGGGCATGCATGCACACGTGCCCGGTGTGTTTCAAGCCACCGGGTTCGGGATTTGAACTGTGGTTGGCCACATGAGAGTTCAGCAACGTAACCATTACACCATCTGCTAGTCTCCCTATAGCAAATTTTTAAAAAAAGAAAAGAAAAAGATAAAACCCTTAGCATTCAGCCTGGCGTATAGTAGACACTCGGGAATCGTCATCTGTTAACTTACTGTCAGTCGGGAGAGGTTGCTAAAAGGAGGCAGCCGGCTGGAACATAATAGAAGACTGGGCCACAAGATATGGAGATGGGAGAGGGGAGTCAGGGTGGAAATTCTAGCCCAAGAGATCTACTGTGCCACTGAAGACACCCACCATGGCCCTGTGGGTGCTCCTGGTCTCTCTCCTGAGCTGGACATTCATGGCTTTGCCTCTGCTCTCCTATTCTGGCACCGAGCTAGAGCCCCACAGCATGCCCCGGATCTAGCTGAGAACCACTCCCCCTTCAGAGAGCAGGTGTTGGGTGTCACGGGACCCAGAGGGGTGGTATGTTTGCAGGGCCCTCAGCCCCGGGCAGTACAGGCACAGGAGGGAGTCTTACCAAGGGCCACCAGGAGGACCAAGCTCAGCAGCCGCAGCATGGTGAGTTTTGAGATAAGAGACACAGAGTGTGGGGCTCTAATATAGGGCAGGAGGCAGGTGAGGGGCTGGGCTGGGCCCAGGCCCAGAACAGGTGGTGGGACGCCTGGTCTCCCATGAGCCAAGGCCACCGCTCCCCACTGCAGATGAGGAGTGACAGCCGAAGAAGGACCCAGGGTTCCCACCAGCATGTGGCTGCACAGGTGGCACTGAATAGCCAGCTGATAACAGGGTGCAGGAAGGAAAGTTCACATCGGAACTGCCAGCTTCTCTTGGGAAAGGACATGGGCCCCGGAATTGGTCAGATCTGGGTTTAACTCCTGGCTCTGCCACTTCCAGAGGCTTAACCTCTCTGTCTCCAGTTTCTCAGCGCTAACACAGGATTAGTTTCAGAACCCGCCTCAATAATAAAACTAGTTGAGCACTTTCTCTGTCTACATGAGGCACTGTTCTAGGGAACGCAGTCATTCTGCACTTGGGGACCAGTCTCTCCAGAGCTCGAGTCTATTGAGGAGACGATGACAGCGCAGCAAAAGTGAACCAAGGCCGTTTCTGACTGTGCTGGCAGGGGCTGTGAAGAGAATGAGACCATTACAGGCCAGATGCTCACAGCTGTAAAGCAGAACTTCACGGCACTCCCACGTGAGAAGGTTCCAGTTCAAGTCCAAGACCTCCCTGAGCACACTGGCTATGCACGTGTCCATGATCCGGGGCTGGGGGTGGATCGTGGCGTCAGGACCATACTGGGGGTGCCTGTCTCTCTTTCTTTCTTTCCTTTTTTTGGGGGGGAGGTTTTTGCTATAGGGTGCGTGCGCTCGCCAGAAAGACAGAGAGAGTCAGAGAGACAGAAAGCAAGAAATCACCCCCGGGGGGATGACCACGCCACAATCCCTTCTCCTCCATTCTCCTCTCGGGATCTTGGGCATGCACGCACACGCACCTGGCGTGAGTTTTAAGCCACCAGGTCCAGGACTCGAACCACGGGAGTCCAGCCACAGCCATTATACCAGCTGTTGGTCCCTCTTTCTCTTTCTTGGAAGAAATACACAAGCTTTTTTTTTAGGCTTTTGCTATACAGTGCATGCACTCACTGAAGAGAGACAGAGACAGAGAGGGAAAGTGAGAAATCACCCCCCAGGGAGATAGCCATGCCACAGTCCCTTCTCTTCCATTCTTCTCTTGGGACTTTGGGTCATATGTATACGTGCCCAGAGTGATTTTTTTTTTTTAATTTTATGAGAGGTTTTTGCTATAGGGCGTGTGCACTCGCCAGAAAGACAGAGAGAGACAGAGAGATAGAAAGTGAGAAATCACCCCCCAGGGGGGATGGTTACCCCACAATCCCCTCCCCTCCACTCTTCTCCAGGAATCTTTTGTTTTTCCCTGAGGAAATTCATCATTTATTTATTTATTTTTTACATTTTTCTACAAACATTTACTGTATATATAAAAAAAATCTGCTCGTACTCCATAGTCTTTTTTTTTTTTTTTTTTTTTTTCTTTAGGTGCCTCCACATCTCGATGAACACGGATTGGCTATAGGACTCATGCACTCACCAGAGAGACTGAGAGACAGAAAGTGAGAAATCACCCCCCAGGGGGGATGGCCACACCGCAATCCCTTCTCCATTCTCCTCTCGGGATCTTGGGCATGCACGCACATGCGCCCGGCGTGAGTTTAATCCACCGAGTCCGGAACTTGAACTGCAGTCGGCTACATGGGAGTTCAGCGACATAGCCATTACGCTAACTGCTGGTCCCAATACTCCATAGTCTCGATGGGGCAAACAACCGCAGGCAGACCCAGGCCGTGTACGCGTGTGTGCCTGCAGTAGGAGGAAGGGCTCCAGATGTGAGCCAGAACCTCCCACGCAGGTCCGCGTGGCGCAGTGGCCAGCCCCATAACCCACTTTCACTTGTAGAAAAGACTCGCACGTCCTCACTGGCTGTTGGAGACAGCCTCTCAGCTGAGGCCTGGCATTTTGCAAGTGCTTAATAAATGTTTGCCGATAGAGGGAGACCAGTTCCTCGGACTCTCCCTGTCCTTCCTTACACCCAGTGCTCCAAGAATTGCCAGACTCCTGCCAGAGTGTGGCTGACCCAGGCACAGCGTGATTGAATGCTGGAAGCCTGGTGGGAGGCCAAAGCTTAGCTACGTCAAAGGGACCCCCCCATGGCCGAAGGTCAAGAGCAGAGCTGGGCCAGCGTCCTCTTAGGGCTGGACCCTCAGTCTGCTCTCAGTCTGGCCCGCTAGTGCAATAACCTGGGCGGAGAAAGCGTGTGGACACAACAGCAGCAGCTGTGAAAATCCTTCAATCTGCGGTAAAAATAGCCATGCCCTCCCTTACCCGAGTCCCTGCGGGCCTGGACCTGTTTATTTGCTCAGCTTTGCAGCTCAGAGCCATTCCCCAGACCCTGAGTTGAGGAAGAAAGAGGGAGGGGCCCCGGAGGTGGCCAGGGAGCAAGAGGGGGCAGGTCGGGTGCTCCCAGACGCCCCTGCAGGAAGTCTGAGAGGCACAGGGCCTGAAAGGGGCGCCCCTCCAGCCTCTTCTACCTGCCAGATGGGGAAATTATGACCCAGAGAAAAGCCAGGACTCACTCAAGCACCCGTGGTTTGTCACCACTTGGCCCGTAGAGGGTTACCTAAGGGCACACGGAGGGCCCTTCTCCCTCCTCCAACTTCAAACAAGAAGCCCCTGGCCCCTTTCCAGGTGGCCTTCAGCAAGTCCGAGCCTCTCTGTCGGCTCTGTGGACAGGCATGCGGTGGCCACCATGGCCCTTGGCTTGATCCTGAGAGAAATAAACCCAACTGTCACATCACAGTCCCTGTCCGGTGAGTCTCGTCTTCAAGGCCTTGGTCAGCCACGTCTCTGCAGAACCCTCTGGGCTGGGAGCAAAGTCCGTAAAGATGAATGTCTTCCAACCCTGGGAAGAGGGGGCTGCCAGGGAAGGTCAAGGGCTAGAGCCACCGTAGGCCTTAGTCTGAAGTGAAGCAAGACATTTCCTGCATGGGAGGTGAGGTGAGGGCAGAGCATGGGGAATTAGGAGGTAGGGCCTAGTTAGGACGGGAGGACTGAGGGGACTGGAGAGCCTTTTCCTTAGGGGGAGGAGTGTTTCCATTCTTCTAACTCCCACCCAATGGGAAGCACCACATTTGCAAAGCTTTATCTTTTTTTAAAATAATTATTTAATTTTATTTATTAATTCGTTTATTTTAATTTGACCAGAGATAAAGAGAGAGAGAAGGAAAGCGAGAAAGCAAGCCACCTGGTCCAGGATTTGAACCGTGGTCAGCTATATGGGTGTGTCCAGCACCTTAACCACCATGCCACCTGCTGGTCCCCTTTTTATTTATTTATTTATTTTTAAAGAATTATTTACTGGGACCAGCAGTTGGCATAATGGCTATGTCACTGAACTCCCATGTAGCCAACCATGGTTCGAGTCCCAGGCCTGATGGCTTAAACTCACGCCGGGTGCATGTGTTTGCATGCCCAAGATCCCGAGAGGAGAATGGAGAAGGGATTGTGGCGTAGCCATCCCCCCTCAGGGGAGGTTTCTCGCTTTCTGTCTCTCTGTCTCTTTATGGTGAGCGCACACGCCCTATAGCAAAAACCTCTTCCCCCCCTAAATAAATAAATAAATAAATATTTAATTTTATTAATTTATTAATTTATTTTAATTTGACTAGAGATAAAAGAGAGACGGGGGGAAAGTGAGAAAGCAAGCCAGTCAAAGCTTTATCTTATTCATCTTCAAATTCCCAATGCCTTACAGGGAGCCTAGCACACAGTGGAAATTCGACAGTACAAAGGGTCTTCAAAGAGTTCACAGAAAGTGCATGTTATGAAAAATATGTGCATGGATTTCATTTTTTTCCCCCACCAAAATAACATTTTAAAAACATTTTTTGAGAGGTTTTTGTATATGGCGTGTGTGCTCTCCAGAAAGACAGAGACATAAAGCGAGAAATCACCCCCCAGGGGGAATGGCCACGCCGCAATCCCTTCTCCTCCATTCTCCTCTCAGGATCT